GCAGAGGATGGCAAGAAGGTAACTCCGAGATTTATCGCAGCGCTCCGGGCCGTGGGTATCGCGTCGATTTGCAGAGATGGAGGGAAAAGAATTAAAAAAAAAAAAAACAACAGCATACTTGCTTAAAAAAAAAAAAATGAGAGATCGGCAAAGCACGCCAGCAAACGGAGCGGTGGCTCCGGTGGCCGTCCCGCCGGAGAGCCGCGCGGCCAAGCCACGTTCCCGGAGAACAATGTCTGGCTGCCCGGGAGAGAACAGGGAGCGAAGGAGAAGGACTTTCAGCCGGGTTTGGGTTTTTGTTGGGTTGTGGTTTTTGTTTTTTTTTTTCTCCCCCCACCCCAGACACTTGTGCCAAGAAACCAGACTTTCTTACAAGCTCTGCCAAAGAGTAACTCGGAAAAGCAAGCTTTGTGAAGAGCAGGATCAATGTTTTGTGCACTAGGATTTCCTCTTTTCTACCTTTTTCATATGTATTAAGTGCAATCATTTGAGTCTTCTTTATATTATTTAGAGGGAAGGTTGTTTGGTTTGGTTTTGTTGTTTTTTTTCTACTAGAAACGACGATATTTATACCTGCCTGAGAAATGAGAATGTGCGTTTGTAACAAAAAAAAAAAAAAAAAAAAAAAAAAAAAAAAAAAAAAACAAAACAACCTCAAAAAAACCACCCACCCAAAGCAAACCCAGCCCTGGGCGGGATGGTTGTTTTCAGCCCTTGAGACCTTTTCTGCTGCGTTTGTCCCCAAAAAAATCCCTTGTTTGGGGGCAGACGGTGCCTCTCGTGCTCGGCGTGTGATGGGGTGAGTTTTTGCCGGGGGTTTGAGGCGTTTTGGTCCCTCTGTGGAGGAGATGGAGCGGCCGCGGTGGTTTTTGGGGTGATCCGCCGCGGTTTGGGGGTTGTTGGAGCCCGTTGCCAGGAGGAGGCAAAACTCTGCCGTCACCTGCTTGGGACAAACTTTTCCTTCCCTGCAGCAGTTCAGGGATGAGCTGAGACCTGGGGGAGACCCGGGGTGAGGGTCCGGGGGGGGCACGCTGGCAGGAGAGGGGAGCTGCCCCCCCTGCTCAGCCCCGAAATCTCCCCCCCAGGTCTGGAGCTCGAGGGAAGTTTTGTGCTTCTGAGTCCCTTCAGGTGCCATCGGCTCC